GTGGTCCATTAGTCCTTTGGACTAATCTTTTCCTTGTATCCTGTTCTCTTCATTCTCCCTTGCTTCTGAAGGGGTGAGACCAGTGGAGTATCTTAGACGGCTGCTCACAGGCTTTTAAGACCCCAGATACTACTCACCAAAGTAGAATGCAGAACCTTGTCTTTATAAACTGTGTCATGCCAATTGAGCTAGATGTTCCCCGAGAGCATGGTCCCCACAGCCCTCCACCCAGCAATTCAGTCCCTCAGGGAGTTTGGATGTGTCTATGGAGCTTCCATGACCTTTCCTTGTACAAGTTGTACTGGCTTCCCCAGTATTGTGTACTGTCTTACCCTTCACCAAAGGTACCACTTATCTATTGTCTATTTAGTATTTCCCCCCGGCACACATGACTTTTAAGTTCGTACACTTCAGATCTATTCTGATAATAGTCGACCTTATTAGAATTAGGCTAACAGAGGATCCAACATGTATATATAGTCCCACTTCTCCCTCCAGATTTTCTCTGTCCATGCCTGTACACACATCCCTGGGTCATAGGATCTCAAAGTTAAAAATTCCTTAAAGGTCATCCAGCCAAACCCTCTGACCAAACCAGTTTACTTATCCCCCCCAAACATGCCTTATGCCCATCTCTGCTCTGGAGTAACTCCACACCCACCTTCTTCCTCCTCAGCCCAGCTCTAAGCCCATGGTGATCCCTACCCACCCTTCCACCCCTCATGCCTGTAGTCATTCTCCTCAATGGGCTAATATGCTGTTTAGCATATCCTGCTGTATAGCATTTTTGGTTTTGTTTTGTTATGTTTTTTCTATTTTTTGTCTGTGTCTTGTGTCCAGTAGACTTTAATAACAAGAGTATTGGCTACCATTTATTGAGCGCTTACTATACTATATGTCAGGCTCTGTGATAAGTGCTTTCAATACATTATCTGATTTATTGTCACACTAACTCCTTGAGTATGTACTGTTATTAACCCCAGTTTACCAAAGAGAAAATTGATGCACAGAAATCTTGTGTAGCTTACCAAACACCCAGAGCCAGGAAGTGGCCCAGCTGAGATTTGAACCTAGACAGTCTGATGTCAGCATTCACACTGCCAGCTTACAAGTTCTGTTATCACTTTGTATTTTCATTGCTTTGAACACAACAGATGCTTATTGTTGATGATATATATTACTAATGTAAACTTGTAGAATCTTAGAGTTGGAAAGTATCTTCAAGCTTATCTGTCTCATCTTAAAGATGAAAAAGCTAAGTCCCAGTAAAACTGATTAACTGCTGCAGTCTTTATGACATTTAAACTGTGAATCACCCAGACCTCAATGCAGAGCACACAAACCAGGGCATAGAAATAAGCCAAAAGTGGTGTCTCCAGTCATACTAAAGCTGTTCAAACTCCAATGCTGACTGGATCCACCTGTTCCAACCTGCCCTTCTCATCAGTCCAGCCCTTGGATGAGAACTCAGGCTCCAGAGTCAGAAACACAAGAGTTTAAATTCCCAGCTCTGTTCATTACAAGCTGGCTGACCTCTGAGCTGAAGATTCCTCATCCATCAAATGGAGATAATGAGGTGGTTTTTTTCGTGTGTGTGTGCTTTATGTGAAAGTTTACAGCTCACGTTAATTTCTCATACAAAAATGTATACACATATTGTTATGTGACAATAGTTGCAATCTCTATAATGTGACAGCACACTCCCCCTTTCCACCCCGGGTTTCCCATGTCCATGGAACCAGCTCCTGTCCCTTACTGCCTTTTCATCCTGCCTCCAGACAGGAGCCACCCATTTAGTCTCGTGTATCTGCTTGAACTAAGAAGCACACTCTTCATGAGTATTATTTTCTGTTTTATAGTCCAGTCTAATCTTTGTCTGAAGAGTTGGCTTTTGGAATGGTTTCAGTTCTGGGTTAACAGAGAGTCTGGGGGCCATGTCTTCAAGGGTTCCTCTAGCCTCAGTCAGACTGTTGAGTCTGGTCTTTTTACGTGAATTTGAGTTCTGTGCCACACTTTTCTTCCACTCCGTCAGGGACTCTCTGTTGTGTTCGCTGTCAGAGTGGTCACTGGTGGTAGCCGGACACCATGTGGTTCTTCTAGTCTCAGGCTGATGGAGTCTGTGGTTTATGTGGCCCTTTTGTCTCTTGGGCTAATATTCTCCTTGTGTCTTTGGTGTTCGTCATTCTCCTTTTTTCCTGGTGGGTTGGGACCAATTGATGCATCTTAGATGGCCACTTGCAAGCTTTTAAGACCCCAGGTATCACTCACCAAAGTGGGATGCAGAACATTTTCTTAATAAACTTTGTTATGCCAATTGACTTAGATGTCCCATGAAACTATGGTCTCCAGACCCCAACCCCTGCTCCTCTGTCCCTCGAAGTGTTTGGTTGTGTTCAGGAAACTTCTTAGCTTTTGGTTTAGTCCAGTTGTGCTGACTTCCCCAATAATGAGATTCTTATAGCTCAAGCCCAGCAGCTGTGTGGAAAGTTCACAGGGAACAAAAGAACGAGTATGGAATTTGGAGTCAACCTCGGTTTTGAATCCTGGCCCTGCCTCTCATTGTTCTCTTGGGCAAGTCACTTTATTCTGGGAGCCTCAGCTCCCTCATCTTTCAAATAAGGGTAATACAGCTCACCTTGCTGTGTGAGCCAAAAGAGGTTCTCTTTATGAAAACACTAGAATGTGCAGGCGTTAGTTATTGTGTCTTTCTCTCTTCTTGTTATCAACTCACTGGTTACATTCCCAAGCCATTACACACTTTCCATTCTCAGAATGCTTATGTCTTTGAGAACCTTACAAGGAAAATGGCAGTAACTGTATTTTTTTTTTTCTTCAGGTGTCCATATTTCTGAAGGACAGAGTTCAAAATTCTAATGGTCGCTTTGTGTTGCCAGTGTCCGGGCCTCTTCCCTGGGGAACTGAAGTTCCCGGACTAATCAGGTGAATTTTTAATAATAATTGTCAATGCTTGGGCCAGGAAACCTATGTGTAGGCCCCCACAGAGAATGCAGTACTGTTGAGCCCCTCAGGCTCTGCTTGAACCCTCCCTTTCCTCAGTAAAGCACAGCAGTTAAGGGGTCAGGTCCTACTCCTGGTTCTGCCACTTAGTTGGGCAAGCCAGCCAGTTCTTCAGGGTTGAGTCCTTCATCTTTTACATGGTGACTGTGAAGATGAATAAGATAATAGTGCTGTAAAGTGTTTCTACAGCGCCTGCCACATAACAGGAGCTCAATAAATACCGCTTATTGTTATCGTATTATTTTTATTACCATAACCAGGTTTTCTAAACAAGCATCTTTATCTTGAAGGAGTGCATGAATTCCGTCTTGTCCTGTAGTACAAAGAATAAAGAAGCCTCCAGGACTACCCAAGCTTGGAGAACATTCCATCATGTCATACTTTGTCTTGTAGAATGTTCAACAACAAAGGTGAAGAAGTGAAGAAGGTCCAATTCAGGCACGGTGGGAACTATGTCACTGCACCAAAAGAAGGTTCTTTTGAACTTTATGGAGACCGAGTCTTGAAACTGGGAACTAATATGTAAGCAAATTCTCCCTCCCTGAACGAATTCAAGTCCAAGGGAGGTCATTTCATTTAAAAAACCAGCTTGACTTCTGCTCTGAAAATCCCTGCTGACAAGCTGAGTAATTTCCCCTTAGCTGCAATACATGCAGAGCCTTGACATTTTCAAAGGGCACCCAAGAACTCCAAAAATAAGGTAACACAACAGGTTAAAAATATATGTAATTTGAAATAGCCACAGAAGAAAACTAGCCAAAAACTTTTTTGCATTGGAAATCTAGAACACCTTGGCCTTCATGTAATGTTTCATGCTTTTTCAGTAAAACACATTACAAGAGCAGCGTGTCTGCTTAGCTTTCCCAAGTAGTTTTCTTTGGGAAGAAGTGAAATTTGAGTAGTTGATGTACACCAAGTTGTATTCTGTACTCCCAGCACCTTTCTGGATGCTATATAATGTCTCAGAATAAGAACCATCTGCTGTATCTATGAGTTAGAAGGGAGTCATTGTAAAGGGGCTGGATAATGTTTGCACCATTTTCTGTTGACATCAGGTACAGTGTGAATCGGCCTGTGGACACACACATGTCTGGAGCATCAAAGAACTTAGCTTCACGGACAGAGGTAAGCTTCTGCCTCCCTTTCTTATCTTCATATTTTATTTCTAGATATGAAAATGTGCATGGGGAGAAAGGTGGGAACTGTTTAGATTTCAAAGCTAGCCATCATTTCCGTCTTAGTTTGCAATCTTCTCCACTCAGCCTTACAAGAACACAGGTTTTTAATTGTAGTTTCTCATGGAGACTTCTAGTGATCTGACTAATTAGGTAATTTTAGGCTTGGCTCAACAACCATAATTAAACAGGAACTACACACCAGGACATGAGAAATAGCATTGTGCCAGTACCATTAGGTCTGTGGTTGCTGATTCCAGCACGTGCGTGTATTCCGATCATTAAAGCATCTCTTTTTTTAATCCTTTCCTCTATAGCAATGTGGTTGCTAAGTTCAAAATGAGGTTTTAGGTTCTCTGAATTCCATCTTTATAAATTTTCACTGAACTAGCTACTTGCTACCTATAGGACATATCATGGAATATACAGTTATTCAGCAAACATTTATTGAATGGCTTCTGTGGGCTGGGTACTCAGGGACACAAAGCTGACAGAGATGTGATCCCATCCTGCAGGGGGTATAGTACCCTGGGAAAGACAGAGAAAGGAACCAACAACTAAGAAGAGCTAGCTGGGTATTCTGAACACAGTGCTGGGCCCAGAAGAAAGCATGTTCTGTGCACTGGTGGGGAGCAGAGGACAGGGATCAAGAAGGCTTTTCCAAGGAGGTGACATTCAAGGGGAACACTAAAGAGTAGGTAAAATACAAAATAGCAGAGAAGGAGAAATGGGCTTGCAGACCGAGGTGACAATATGAGCAAAGGCACAGAGGAGCAAAGGAGGGTCATGTTTGGGGGAAGCAGAGAGGCAGCGTCTCTCCCACATGGCTAGATCATAGTGTAATTGAGGCAGACATGTGACTCAACAGAGACACTGAAGCCTGATTAGAAAGGGCTTGGATGTGGTCCTAAACAATTTGGACTTTGTTCTTTAGGCAGGAGGCAGAAGGGTCTGTTTCAAGCAAGGAAGAACGGCAGAGAGATGGAAGAGGCAGAGCAGGAAGGCTGAAGTAGGGCGGCCACAGTGAGGGGAGTGGATGGACTCGAGGGTGTATTCATGACTGTCACCACCCGAGGGCAGTGTGGTAGCTCCCATGAACTAGAGACTTTATTGCAGCTACCGGTAAATGCAGAGGAAACTGGATTGACTCTGAAGAGGAAGCAATGCTCTTCTCCTTCAAGGAGGAAGATCATTTGAGGAGAAATGTGGACTCCTGGGGCCTTCCACTCATCTTGAAAGTGTGAAAGTCTCTGGTTTGCTGCCTTGCTAGAGTGCCTCTACTTCTGACGTGGATTATTTTTCTTTTGGTTAAGCCTGTTTGCTTAAGCTTTATTTAGAACTAATTCTTCCCAGAAATAATTTAAACAGTTATTGTTTTACCTTGTTTTATAATACTGCCCTGAATCTTTGGGGTCTTTAGCAGGAAATGCAATCTCCTTCATGTGGCTAAAAGTCATGAAATTGTTTCTGTAGGAAAACATTACTCCAAACCCTCTTGCTAAAGAAGAGCTGAATTTCTTGGCCAGGCTGATGGGAGGAATGGAGATTAAGAAACCCAGTGGCCCTGAGCCAGGATTCCGGTTGAATCTCTTTACCACCGATGAAGAAGAGGAGTAGGTCTTAAACCTGTTTTTTTAAAGATATATATATAAATCCTAAGTGTGATAAGAACCAAAAAATGATCATCATAAACCAGTGACACTTGTGAGTACAGATGTAAAAATCCCAAATGAAATACCAGCAAATTTAATAACCTAGTTAAAGAAGAATTCATCAGGATTAAATTGATGGAAACTTCTAGACTGTTTCACAGAAGAGTTCTAATTTTTTACTTAGCAGAGCAGATCTAAACAAGAAGAATTGAGAACCAAAATGACCATGTTAAGAAAAGTCTGTTAGAAACCAGAGGGAAGTTGGAACTTGATGACTTTGGGGTTAGACCAAAAACAAAAAAGTTGCTGTCGAGTCAATTCCAACTCATGGTGACCCCATGTGTTTCAGGGTAGAACTGTGATCTGTAGGGTTTTCAATGGCTGTGATATTTTGAGACACCTCTGGATGTATTTGAACTGCCAACCTTTCAGTTAGTAGCGGAGCACTTAACCATACCTTATCTAAAACCAAGAGTGGTAGTAATTCACGTTTACAAGTGCTGTACAGTTTACAAAGCACTTTTGAATTAATCATCTCATGTGATCCTCCTCACAACCAAATATTTGGGGTCAGAGTTGCCTTCTATTTCCCTACTCATATAACTGATTTTTTTTTGTGCACTTCTGTGTGCCAGGTAATATGCTAAGTGCTGGCCATACAAAAGATGCAGTATATGACCTAGGCCCTGTCTTCAGGAAGCTCCCAGCTTAGTGGGAGAATAAACATGTATATAAGCTATTTCAGTTAGAATCATAAATGCTCTAATTGAGGACAGAGTGTCTGGCTTTACACAGGTGAATTAGAAGAGTTGGCATTTGAGCTAGGTCTTGGAGTTCACCAAGCAGAGAAAGGAAAAAGCATTCTTGGCAAAGTTTAGTATGTGCAAAGGCACAGAGATGTAGGAAAACTTCACTTTCTAGAGTGGAGGGTGCATTGGTTGGGGATGCAGTAAAAAGTTAGAGTGAAATGGCAGAAGATGAGGCAGAAAAAAAAGGTTGTCAAATTATCAAGAGCCAGTTTGCCACGTTAGCAGGGAGAAAGCCCGAGCTAACCTGTGACCCTTTTCTTTACCATCTCATCCAGACAAGCAGCTTTAACCAGGCCAGAAGAGTTATCCTATGAAGTTGTCAACATACAAGCTACCCAGGTACATGCAGGAGATTACCCGGGGTCAAATTTTAGTCACCTCTTTGTCTTGTAATAACCTTGAACTTCAAAGGCCCCCCTTCTTCTCTCGAATTTACACGTAACTATAGTCCCTATCCTGACAAACTGATGAGGAACTGAAATGCATCTCAGGAATGGGACATCAAATGCCTGCTTCACAAAGAGGCAGTCTGCTGACACATCCTCCTCATTCCCTGTCACCTCTCCTTTCTCTAACAGGACCAGCAAAGGAACAAAGAGCTGGCTCGGATCATGGGGGAGTTTGAGATCACGGACCAGCCACGGTGGACCGCCAGCAAGGGGGAGGACTTGCTCGCCATGATGGATGAGCTGTAGCGGTGCTGACCAGGCACACCCTCCACTAGCATGGGACAGCCTGCCTGATGGCCACCCCTGGGGAAGGCCCCCGGGTCCAAAATGATGCTGCTAGTTTTCTACTGAGTGAAGCCGTTGCCCCCTGTTCTTATTTCTGTTGTAACGAACGGTGCAAGTCTGCCTCAGGAAGCACTCTCTTGAAGGCACATGCACACATATATTTTCCACAAAATACATTCTGGCTTTTAAGCTGGGCCTTTCCCACTTTCCTTCTAATTTCATGGCAACCATCCAAAGCATCTTTGGCTATAGGTTCAAGCCCCAGAGTCGGTAAAGGGACACTCCTGTTGCCACTTTGACTATTACAGCTTTCTTGTGAGGCTCTGTGTCTCACAGAGGCTGGTAAATCATAACAGAGACTTCAAAGCTCTCTGGGATGTGTTCTTCATAAGTGAGTTTGAAATAATTGGGAAAGGAGTTGCGTCAAAACAGTCGGGACCCAGTTTAGACAGTCCTCAACTCTCTGACATATGAGGACTTGTCGCCTCAGAGAGGCAGAGTAAGCAAAGCCGTGACAGGGAGTACACTCAGCTTGGCCTAAGCAGTGGCATGTGGGTGTCTGTAGTTCTCTGCACATCTCTCTCCATATGTGGATGTGGGTTTATCCCATATGGAGACATGTACCAAGAAAATATTTTCCTTTTCAGCATGACATGTACTCCTTACCCTCATAATCTTCCTCTGCCACTTAGTGTTCTTGCCTTCACAGATACCAGCATCATGTGCTGTGACACCTCTCTCCTCTCCTCTACCCTCAGTCACCAAGCAGAGCCTTTGGTTGGTTGGGTGCATAGGAGGCACGGGTGGTGTACCACTTTCCCCTGCATGGACCCACTGAGCTACTTCCCTTCAAGAGGCATGACGCCAAGTCTAATCGGGATCCACTTAAAATGTATCAGGCGAGGGCTTTCCTCATTTCAGGAAGAAGAGTCAGCCCTCAACCGCGTGCTCCCCCATGGGATTAAGTAACAGGTGGGGCAGGGCTACCAGAATCCCAAGACCAAGGTCCATTCAGTCTTATGGAGGGAACATCCAGAATGGCAGAGGGTAGGAGAAAACTGAGCTGAGCTGATAGTCTCCTGAGATGGGCCAACCACAGGGACCACTCCCGCCCCTCTCATCCTGGGAAGAGTGTAGGCAAACATAGTTCTGAAATGTGAGGGTAAGAGGAGTGGCCCTTTGGCCAGCCTAAGGCAGAGGATTTGGATACAGAAAGGGAAACCTCCAGATAAATTTTAAGTTGCTTCCTACTCATTAAGGTTATACTCCCTTACCTACAAAGAACCCCTCAAAAGGTCTGTTGTGCTATTAAACAGCTGTTACAGGTTTACAAAGTGCCTTCTGTTTCAGTCTGTTTTAAGCAGTCTGGGGTGGCCTGATTGGGTGACAGAGGATGGGGAAGGTTCTGTCCTGTTCTGAGTCTGGCTCCCACCACGTAACAAACCTGAACCTCACTGTCTGCTCTGAGCATGTCCTGGGGCCTTGGAACCAGGCCACAAACTGCCAGAAAGCATCAGTCTCCTCCCTTTACCTGTCCCAGAGCAATACAGAGGATTTCAAACCCATCATCATCTCAGTAAATAAACAAGATACAAATCTCTGGTCAGGCAGCTCTGGGATGAGGCAATCTTTGAGTTTCATGTCTCTGGACTTGCATGAATATTGAGAAAAACAAGTTTACACGCATGGTGGTTCACGGCATCCAGAGAAAACATGAGAGTTGGGAGGAGGCAAAGAAGAAGATAGAGTGACTCTTACTCTAATGTGGACTGGGTACTAATGTGTCAGTGTTCATCTGAAGCCAGGCCAAGGAGGCCCTCGGTAGTGCAGATGGTTAGGTGCTGGACTACTAATCATAAAGGCTGGCAGTTAAAACCTACCCAGAGGCACCTCAGAAGTAAGGCCTGGTGATCTGCTTCTGAAAGGTCAAAGCCTTGAAAACCCTATGGAGTGTGGTTCTACTCTGCACACCTGGGGTCTTCATGATTTCTGGAATTAAAGACTACAGCCTTCGGTATGGATTACACCTCAACATAAAACAAATCCTCACAAGTGGACCATAAACAACAGCTTGATAAACAGAAAATATTGAAGTTGTCAAGGATTTCATTTTACTTGGATCCATAGTCAATGCCCATGGAAGCAGCAGTCAAGAAATCAAACAATGTATTGCATTGGGTGAATCTGCTGCAAAAGACCTCTTTAAAGTGTTAAAAAACAAAGATGTCACTTTGAGGACTGAGGTGCAAGTGACCCAGGCCATGGTGTTTTCAGTCGCCGCATATGCATGCAAAAGCTGGACAATGAATAAGGAGGACCCAAGAAAAATTGATGCATTTGAATTACGGTGTTGGTAAGGAATATTGACTATACCATGGACTGTCAGAAGAACAAACAAGTCTGTCTTGGAAGAAGTACAGCCAGAGTGTTCCTTGGAAGCAAAGATGGTGAGACTTCACCTCACATACTTTGGACACGTTATCAGGAGGGACCAGTCCCTGGAGTAGGACATCATGCTTGGTAAAGTAGAGGGCCAGCAAAAAAGAGGAAGACCCTGAACGAGATGGACTAACACAGCGGCTGCAACAATGGTCTCAAACAGCAACAATGTGAGGATGGCACAGGACCAGGCAGTGTTTTGTTCTGTTGTATATAGGGTTGCTATGAGTCAGAACCGACCGGACGGCACCTAACAACAACAACAGTTGCACAACTCTGTGAATATACTAAATCCAGGCCAAAGGGGTAGGAAGCTGTCCACATCAGCAATACCCAGGCATTTTAGGGGAAGGTAAACCATGGTTGGTGTCAGGACACTGGGCTCTAGTACTGTTCCTGCCCCAAACTCACCATGTCATCTTGGGCCAGCTACCCTCACCAAGCCTGTTTCCTCATCTGTAGCAAAGAGAAAGAACTAGCTTAGTGGCTCAAATCTGGCTTGCTCAAATAATTTGTTGAGTTTACAGATTCCTAGTTTGTGCCCCAGGTGGGGCATAAGAATTGGAATTTTTACTCATGCTGCCCCCAACTCCGTGATTCTTGTGCTTTTGGATGTATCTGCTCTTTCACCTCTTCTGTTACTGTAGTCTCTTCTCAAGTAAGTTTCAGACTATTCCACTCTTGTTCTTATCATAGTGTTAGAATGACCTATATGTTATGCAAGACAAAGCTCTAGAAAAGCCTTCTAAACAAAAATAATGGCTCCCAGAGGAAAGACATAAAAAATTGAGAGTAAGGGGGGAAGAGAAAGGGCAAAAAATTTATTTAGCCTTTAGCTCTAAGAGGAAGGTCATCCCATGCAGTCCTCATACGAATCTAACAATTTGTAAAGGTAAAACTCACTTTTTTTCCCCTTAAATCCAGATCCCCATAGGGGAGAAACCAAATTCAGCATGATAAGCAGACTCTAGAGATCCCCAAATCTAAACAGGATCAGATTCCCTCATCCACTTCCATCTGGTTTGTAGCCATCTGATTTGTCACTCTGGTTTACATCCAGTATAAAGCCAAGCTGTCCCTTTTACACCAACTCAAGTCACAGGAAATTAGAGAAATGCAAATTAAATGTATATATATATTTAGTATAATACCTAGTCTTAAAGACCCAAATTAAAATCTGAAAACCAATACCTATTCCCTACTTCCTTTAGATTATGCCCTGGATAAACTTTTCAGCTGCTAAATTCCTGGACAGCCAGGAATTAGAAGTTAGATGGAGTTAGAAGTGTTTACAAAGGATCGGAATAAGGAAACTCCTTTGCAGTTGAATCTTCCCAGTATAGCTTCTTGCTTTGGTGCAAAGTAAATTTTCAGATCATAACTTACCCCTTTTCAAATGAGAATGTCAAGATGTATTCCAAGTGCCAAAACCAAAAACCAAACCAGTTGCCATTGAGTCGATTCCAACTCATAGCAACCCTATAGGGCAGAGTAGAACTATCCCATAGGATTTCCAAGGCTGTAATCTTTACGGAAGCAGACTGGCCACATCTTTCTCCTTTAGAACAACTGATGGGTTCAAACCGTTGACCTTTCGGTTAGCAACCAAGCACTTTAACCACTGTGCCACCAGGGCTTCTATGCCAAGGGCCAATGGAAATTATTTTGGATTATTTGATTACCTTAACACCCCCCTCCACACACAGTCCAAGTTTTTTTTGTTTCTGACCAGCAGTGCCTCTGCTGCCCAAAATAACGTTACCTTTTCTGTGAGTTCCCCAAACTAGTGAAGCCCCAGTTTCATTCGGCCTGGTGAAAGCACACCATCCCCACAGGCCCAGCAGAGCTAGAGCAGAGCCCAGGGCTCCTAAATGCTAGATGTGCACATTGGCCTCAGATCACTCTGTCTCTTTATAAAACTCCCTATCTGCCTTCTGAAACGTTGGAGCTGGCAGTCTTTCAAGGAGAGGCCTTTGTGTCAGCCACAGATATTTGATTCGGGTTCTGGATGGCCTAGAGGCCTCTCAGTTTAGGTCACAATTGACAGGAAGATAATGCTCGGTTTGTGTGCTCTCTCTCATCTCTCCTCTACCTCAAGGTATCTTTTATCTGTACCCGTCCTCCTCTCAATCACACCTAGCAGCTTTCTGCACCTCAAATGTTTTCTGAATGGCTGCTGAGGGTGTCCACCTGTACAAACTGCTCCCACCCACACCTTCAGCCTCTTCTCCAGCGCTCCCTTCTCTCCATCTTCATTTGTCCAGCTGCCCGCATGTTCCTCTGCATTCACTCCCCAGCTCCTCAGACATGGGCAGCACCCCACACTTCTGGGGCTGCCTCACCTGCCCTCCTTCCTAGCACCCCTGTAGCCCCTATCACTACACAGATCCCAATTCTCCAGGTCCCAACTTTGGTAGATCCAATGGCCTTTTCTCTTCCCCATTTTCCTTGACTTTTTGGAAGCTCTTGACTCTGCTAAACACCCTTCTTAAAACTCTCAACCTCTAGTCTAATTGTACTGCTTTTCTGACCACACCCCCTGTCATGGATTGAATTATGTCCCCCCAAAAAATGTGTGTATCACTTTGGCTGGGCCATGATTCCCAGTATTGTGTGGTTGTCCTCTGTTTTGTGATTGTAATTTTATGTTAAAGAGGATTAGGGTGGGATTGTAATACCCTTACTAAGGTCAAATCCTGATCCACCATAAAGGGCGTTTCCCTGGGGTGTGGTCTGCACCACCTTTTATTTTA